TACCCATTTACATAAGGTAGTAAAATAGGCAAAGGAATATTTCCATTAAACTTACTCAAGATTTTAAATTATTACTAATAATTTATTAGTAATTATTGAAGCAAAGGTTACAAAATTACCAGGCCTAGGTCGACATAGGTGGGTCATTGTCAATGTTGAAATCGTGGCAATCAAACACATGTCATGTGCGTCAAAAGTCCGATAATGGGTGAAGCACACGAAACTATGAGGAGTCAGGGCTGGCGACGCGTCTTTAATTAAAATATTAAAAAAAACAAAAGCGCCATGAACTTCTAATGTAACATGAGCCTTTTTGGTTGGATACTTTTAAGTTAATTTTCAAATACCTACTTAGGTAACAGTACTCGTATATTATTATGTGAATGTAAATTATAAGTGAATACAGCTTTTACTCCCAGGATTGTGCGTCAAAAGTTTAATTANTAAACAACAGCATTATGAAAAGATATAGGCAAATACGGAAAAAAACGCACTCAGCAAGTGATATAGCTCACCAGCCAGTTAGCCAATTGACTGTTATATCGAACTAAATTCTGAGGTGGAATTTTGTAAAGCAATCGTAATCATTTGACAGTTCATAACGTACGATTATTCTGTCAAACGCTTTGTTTAACTGACTTTATCGTACGTTATGAACTGTCAAATGATTACGATTGCTTTACACAATTCCACCTCTGGTCTGTACTAGGAGTAAAACTCTTATGTATTAGTTTTTAAATTTTGGATTTGGTTGGATTACGTGTGACAAATGTCCCCAGATCAAGATCAGATCAGAAAACTAGAATATAAGTTTTAAGTACCTATTTATTGTGTCAAAATAGTTTCATACTTCTCTAAATCATGGTGACCCTTCTCCCCGCGTGCGGTCGCCCTACGCGGCTCTAGACAACGCTCTTGTTGCGCGAGCCTTTTTGCTCTCGTGGCGGTACTTATTTGTGCGTACTCATCTTGTTCTTGCAATAATATGCTACTCTACAATTGAATTAAAACTTGCTGAAAACTAGTACTATCTGCCTACTTACTTACTAAAAAGCACAGTGAAATGGAGTTGGTGTATTAAGGTAAAAACCTTTCAAAACACGATAAAAGAGACGCCATTGATTCTTCCGTCATCAGTTGTTAGTACCCCACTAAGCGTGTTGTGTGTTCAAATTCCAGTTAATTAAATTTTTCCAAAAGTAATCCAAACACGAATTCAACCATAATTTAAAACAAACGAGTTATAACAAATTTAAAGAATTACACTGAACATATCAATGTTTGAAGGAACTCTACATTCAGTTTCATTCGCCATTAATTACGTATTACTGTTAAATCAGGCATCAAGCGTAAACTTACCTAAAATCTGAAAAAAGTTCTTAAAAACTATAACACCATTAAGTTCGCGCAAAAGAAATCATTTAGCAACAATTAATTATTAGTTATGTCATCATTAAATAGAGTCGTGATTAAACTAGTTGGTTTAATGTAATGTGTGGCGTGACTGACGGACAAATTGAATCGAAAGGAGGATGCGCACACTTGGATGACAACGCCCTTGAAGTGATAATCACTTTCAAACTTGCAAGAATTACGTAATTTTTTAAAGGATTTCAATAATAGACACATAAGTGCCCTGAGTGCCCAAGCAACTGCACGCAGGAGGATTTAATGAATGCTGCTGACAACGCCACTCTTGTAGCGAGGTTTTGGGCTGACACTGTGTAGGTTTGTTGTCGACACGATAAGAAGACGAAGAATAGATACATCACGATCAGGTAATTTTTGGTCTTCATTGGAGAATTCAGCGGAGGCTGAAGTATAAACCTCTCTTGTTTGCTATGTGGCTATACTAAGAATTTGGCTTACAATCCCCACTATATGGCCAGATGGGTTGGGGAGGCCTGACGCTCGCATATTTGACCCTTATTCGCTTCTTACAACATCCACGGGAAGAGTGAGGTGTGATCCTATTCCACTCTACCGTATAAGAACAAAATAAAGTCGGACAAATTCGAAAACGAAGGGTAATTCATAATTTTGGAACTACACAATTTAGACTGGTCGCTTGATATCGTAGTACCTATTGTTTAATTTTCATCTACCTATTTACATAAGTTAGGTAAAGGAATATTTCCTTCAAACTTACTCAAGTTTTTAAATTATTAGTAATTATTAAAGCAATGGTTACAACAATTACTAGGCCTAGGTCGACATAGGTGGGTCATTGTCAATGTTGAAATCGTGGCAATCAAACACATGTCATGTGCGTCAAAAGTCCGATAATGGGCAAAGCACACGAATCTGTGAGGAGATAGGGCTGGCGACGCGTCTTTAATTAAAATATTAAAAAAAAAAACAAAAGCGCCATGAACTTCTAATGTAACATGAGCCTTTTTGGTTGGATACTTTTAAGTTAATTTTCAAATACTTAGGTAACAGTACTCATATATTATTATGTGAATGTAAATTATAAGTGAATACAGCTTTTACTCCCAGGATTGTGCGTCAAAAGTTTAATTATTCCATTGAGAATTTGAGAAGTAAAAACAAATAATTCAGTCCCTTTTCTTCATCTTCTAATCTCTACAACATTTATTTATCCCTTTTGCACATGAATTTTACACAAATATCAAGCAAAATTGAAAGAAAACCTCTCAAAAATACGAGTATATTTAATAACCCTCCTTCTGACGCAATTGGGAAATACCTACTTACACTTGTACATAATTATAATAAGATGACATTGCACGTAAATTACAAAAGCATCCCAATTCACGCATCAAAACGTTTAAAGACAACAAACAGGTGCGCGCGCGCAACCCTCGCGCGATTAGTCGCGGCCGGCACGCGACGAATAATCGCTAAACGAGCGATAGTGATGCAAATCGAATCCATCGATATCGTACCGATCACCGATGTCTACGACTATTTGCTGAGCTTTAGCGTGAATTGGTTGTAGCCTTGTTATGATTTAAAGCCATACTCGATTTGAGTCTTACATCAAATTGAATGAGTCTTTTAAAGCTTTGATAGCAATAACTACTATAGTTATTGTGATACAGTAGTTGCAACGAAATGAGACCTAGGAATAGTTAACCTCTGAAAAAGGCATATGAAATGATCGAAATTGACGACTACTCGATGACTATAGTCGGTATTTGAAGCCCGATTAGTTGACTAGTGAGCTAATCGCCAAAGTTAGTTCATCTCTAGTAATAATCTGGCACTAATATCAAGTTATTGTCACAACGTACACTTTCATAGCCAACTGGTAATAGAATGCGACGGAACCAATGAATAAATGAATATTTATACAACTTTATTTACTTTTAATAAATGAGAAACACAATCGCGTTTTTGTCACCGCAATTTTCCTGCACACTCTGAAATTGATTTTCAAACCATTGGACTCAATAATAAAGTGCCAATCAAAAGTAGAGTTAATTCAATCAAGTTTTCCTAGAATTCTGCTTGTTTTTTAATTGTATTGTTTATTCTGATTATTATTTCTTGTCGGTATGTACAGTCACGGAATGAAAAGGTTCGTCAGTTTTCAAATTGATTCCTTCAACGAATCGCGAGCACATATTACCTTTTGAAACTATGTTACAGAATAATCTCGAGTTAGAGAAAATAATCTTTAACTGTTCGTCAGTAAAGTCCAAAATTATTCAGATCAAAGTTGTTTGACGATTTATCTTGTCAAGAAGATTATTATGATTGATAAAGTAAAACCTTCTTGTTGGTTCAACCTGCCATTATTATTTCTATTAAAGAAAAAAAAATATTGTCATTGGTCAATGTCATCATTGCATTGCACTGATGGGATAGAAAAATAAACAAGCAAAACCTTATTCGTTAGCAAACGTCATATTTATTTAAATGTTAGCAGCACTGTTTCTTGCACTGTTATGTTGGCAGGTTTGACTCTTACAGTACCTAGTGCAAGCGAAAACCGACACTAAGGTGACGAACCTTTTCATTCCGCGACTGTACATTGACTTCGTGAAACCTTCGTTTGTTTTTAATTAGTTCATGTCTATAGTTCTTATGGGATAGCTAATGCAATTCCGTAAAAATGGAAAAGACTAGCTTTTAATAACACCTGCGCTAGGGCGCTTAATACAAGTAGCAATAGGTGCGATTTTAATCCGAAGTGCTTTTGGTTAAATTTTTTAGGTAGAAGAGGTACCTATTTGATTGCAGCTTAACTTTTAATTATCCTTATTTCTATTGAGCTTGGTTATGGCTTTACAATGATGAATATTGTAATAAAATGGGCCATCTTAATTAAGATTTTACAGCGTCCTTCCCACAAGGTTCTGTCGTACACTATTATAAGTACAAAAGAATAACTTTCCAGGAACGTATTCTTTCAAATACAAACAATACGTTCTTACTTTATTTGCGACCGCAACGCCGCGGTTTTTGGCTATAAACATCATCGGTACAGCACCGACAAACGCGCAAACCGACAATGTACTAATGTATTTGCATTTTTGCTTTACTGCGACTGGAATGACATTTCTTTTTTTGGTCTGTGGTGGCGGCGGCTGAGTTATGACAGTTGGTTTTGTAATGGTAATTTTCTTTCGGGCTTTGCCTTAGTTCTCAGCGAATAACTTTCGATATTTGACATAATGTTAATGGAGTGAGTATATTGACGCCGGAGGTATCGTCCGCTCGAATTTCGGTTATAAGTAATGACATGTTTGAAAATTTTCTTGTAGATTGTGAAATTGTAGGTTGCCTGTCAATTTATTCGTAGAATAATGTTGACTTTTTGTCATCTTTACTTTTAAAAAAATTGTCAATAGGTCATTCCTATTCTCTTAACTTTGACAATTGAAAAGTCGGTTGTGAGTAGGACAACTGTTAAAAACATCTTGTTACTTGTTTTTCCCTTCAAAGCGCTTTTTACTTTATGCGCCAAAAGTGGACCCTAATTTTCTGTTTTGTCTTCTTAACCAATATACTAAACCACCTTCTCTTTCCAGGTCTGGTTCCAAAACAAGCGTTCGAAAGAGCGCCGCCTGAAGCAGCTCACTTCAATGGGGAGGGGTCCGTTCTTCGGGTCCTCCCGCAAGATGCGGGGGTTCCCCATGAACCTCTCCCCCGGGGGGTTAGAGGAGGGTCCTCCGGGGTTTCCGTACTTCGCGACGGCAGATGGCAAGTTCGAGTTTGGATATGGCCCGCCGTTCCACCATGATGCGCCGTTCTTCCATCCACCGCCGGCTATGCCGTTCAACCAGCCAGGTTGGTAGACTTTTTATACTTGAGTTAGGCGACTTTCTTTTGTGTCGTCATCAGAAAGGGATACTTTTCGAAGAGCATTGAACTATATGTCGAAGAGTAATCATTTATAACACTTTACAAAATTCAAAAGTACGAAAAAAAACGACTATAACTAAAGCAGTCAATTACTAATTGTCTTAAGAAACTGAGTATTTTCGTATTTAGCTACCTGTCATTTAGATTTATTATTTTTGAATAACTACAACCTTATGGGTACCTATTCGGAATTAAGTACTTTGATAATGTGGCCGTCGTGACTAACAGTCATCCCGCCTAAGAAAGATCAGGCTCAAGTCCTACCTAAGGCAGTCGATTTTGTCAAATCCTAATGATCTTAGTGACAATTTCTTTGACGTTGATGTACCAAATAATAACTGGAGCAGGTCGTTTCGCAGGCGGAATGGAGTCGCTGCCAGGCGGCGAGTTCCCCGAACAGTTTCCTCCGCCGGAGCACCTGGTCCTCCCGCGGCCATCCTCCCCCGAGTTCACCTTCGGAGACGCCCCGCCCCCCCTCCACCCCGAGGGTCTGGTCTGGTAGCTGAAGCCGGAGCCGCGGGACTTCCACGACTGAGGCGGCTCGACGGGCTACAAAGTGGACTATAATAGTGAGGTGTTCTTTTCAGTTGAGTGATTGGACAGCGAACCCTTGTGATAGTGTTTTGTTTAATCGCGATTTTTAGGCTGCGTCTCCACTAAGGTGAGTCTACGACGAGCTGAGCACGAGTGGAGCACGAGTTGAGTCTGAATTCGTGTAGTGTGGACCGACTTTCGAGTCTCGAACGAGCGCGCTTCGAGCATTTGGCTCGGTTTTTTGACGTACGTGGTTTTTGATGGGATTTGCATCGCGCTCTACTACTATCGAAGAGAGTGATTTTAATAGACTCGTTGTACTATGAGCCACACTTTCAGCTACCCAATTCGGGTCATGTCGTCTATCGCAAAGAATCGCCATTATTGATGAGAGCGAGAGAAAAAATGTAAATGGGCAGCTGGAACTGTGGCCCATTGTACGTCCACAGCTCTGTACGAGCTCGTGCTCGTATCGCTAGCATAGACCTACCTCTAGGTTGCTTTCGCGAATGGAGCACCGTGCGCGTAGTGTGAACTCTTCAATAGTATTAGACAATTCAATTTTTAGTTCCAATGGAAACGCAGCCTTAGTAGATATGAAAAACTTTCGTGCCGTCACGAATGATTGTGGATTTTCCTTTTGTCAAGAAATACTACTGTAAATCGTAGGTTTTAGTTTTTCGCTTGTATTATTATAAGTTTCTCCTCTGGTGCTAATAATTTTAATCTTTATTTTCTCATTTCAAAAATCTTGACAGAAATTGGATGTTTCAACTTTAGTTATGAAAAACTTTTGTATTTTTCAACCTTTACCAATATCGGATCTTTAATTTATAACTCGTATTATCTTCAGTTTTTTATTTATTCTTAGGAAATGTGAATATGAAGTGTCTCTGTGAATAGTAATACTAAATGTAAATACGATAGAGTTTTATAATAACTATCCATAATTTATTAAGTTAAAATATTTATTTACAATGGGTTTACATAAAGTATAATAATTTTGGTTCCTATTTTAAGATAGATTCAGCAATTACAACGCATTTTATTTTGTATATTTATTATTAATTTTTAATTAATACTGTTAATTAAGTACAATGGAGTAGATAGATATAGCGTGCACTTAAAGGCAGGCATTATGTAAATAATAAGATGTATATAAAATTACTATGATCCTGTATATGTGTACTTATAAGTACTTTATGTAAGTAATGGTATTTTAAGTATTCATGAAATTATCACTTTTCCATTTTGTATGACAACATTAAGGACAAAGGGTAAATGTAATTTCCATCTTTTTACATGTTTTTGTCACTTATTTCACGAATGACCTTTGTAAATAATTCCTTATTTCGAGGCAGTAGGGTACATGCAACCGTTGTCGTCCCTGTGTATCATTTTACTCAAAAAGTTTTTTTTCATTGTTATCAATAGAGTACTCCAACTTAATAAAAAGGGGCCGTGTTCTAACTTAATTAAGGAGTGTTTTTACTGTTTTTTAACAACTTTTTTCATAAAAAGTATTTTTTATCTGTGGTCACATGTACTCTTATCATTACGCCTCACGTTTTGAACATAACACGCGAAAAGTCATTATCTTTTGAGTCGCGGAACAATTCGCTTCACTGAAAATGTAATTTAATGTACTACATATGGGCAACATTGAAACACCCTATCTGTGGGTAAACCGCGAGTAACTGTAAAACTTAATTGAAAATACAAAGTCAACGAGTAAGTACTGTACATTTTAAATTTTCTTCCTGACTTTTTGAGTAAACCTCACAGTACTAACACAATACTCACACATTATTGAATATTCTTTTCATTTACTACTTGGTGTTAATTTATTTAGTGTTATATATTTATTTTTTGTTTTAAATTATATCTATGGAAAATTTTATTAATTGGTTCTGCGTTTCAAAAGATATACTGACGATTTAAATAAAACAGGATTACCTAATATAAGTATGTACTTTAGATTAAGTGTTAATATCGGTACATACTGTTGTCATCTGTATTTTAGTATATAAAAGTATAATGGAATTGTCTGTAAGAATAAAATCTATTCGGAAATATTTTTTGGGATTTTATTTTGTACCTGCCGTGCTGCATTCGTTTTACCTTATCCTTTATCAGTCGGCATTTTCCCTACTACGAAGGACAACACACGTTGTCGTCACAAATGATGATAATTATTATGCAGATAAATTTGTAAAATATGAATAAAGCCTCTTAAAATATTTTCAAAATAAACATGGGATGTATTAGTTTATCGACAACGAAGTTACAGGAATTAATTTGTAAAATGTAATTTTGCTGACTAACAGTGAGCGTAGTCCGATTTACTCAATAAAAAAATTCGCGCTTACATCTTGACCTAACTGAAAGCTTCAATAAACACCAATAGTCGTAACTTATCCAAACCTTCACCTATCGTGTCTCCTCCTCATAAACATTACCACTTCCCACACAAATAAACGAAACGATTAGTCCACCACTAAAGTAAAAGTTAATCAACAAAGCATTGTTACCACATTCTACGTTTCACCCCACGACCAAGGGTTGCCAATGTTGCCATGTGCCACTTCCCACGCGGTATCCCTCATAATTGGAGAGCGTGATGTTTACCCACCTCTGTATAAATGTTGGGTTTGCAATTGAGGAGGTTACCTTATTGTAATTTCGAAAAGAAACATTCGTGTTTTAACTGTATGTGTACGGGTGTACTTACCTACGAGTATGTTCTTCTTCTTCCTAGCAGTGGCGTAGTTAGGTAATCAAGGGCCCTGGGGCAAAAAAAAAATGGGGCCCCAGTGCAATCTAAACTGGTTAGGTTTTATCAAGTTTATTGTCATTAAGCTTACTTACCTACTCCTGATACAGCTTTCGAAATTATTTTGAAAATGGGAGAATATTTCAAAGTTCAGTTCAATTGAGATTTTTTGGTAAGGATTCGGGGGCCCAAAGACACTGCCCAGCCTTGCCCCTTAGTAGCTACGTCCCTGCTTCCTAGTCGATACACTCTTGCCATCAATATGAATCACGATGAGTGATGATCTTTGTAATGCGAGGTATGTTAGTAACACTAGGTTAACTTATTTAGTTACGAACGAGTAAAAACGGTTTTTTGGCAAAATAATAGCGGCGTAAGTAAGAAAATGTATAATTTCAGTTAATGATAGTTCAACACTGGACGTTACTTGAAAGCTTTCCAAAGAAGCTTTTTCTGTTTTAGCAACCAATCACAGCCAACTATCTTCGAGAAATCGTCAGTCCATCACCCGAAGCAGCTGGACTATTGTGGAGATCCCAGATTGAGTTTAACACAAGGGGTTTTTCATTTTCATTTCCAAACCTTATTAATCGTGGCTCGAATCACGAAAAGGCGTAACTAACAAAATGGCGATTATTTAAAAATATGCATTTTATAACATCACAAAAGATCGTGACAAAGAATTCAGTATCAAATTGACAGTTAAAAAGGGCCGAAATACACATTTTCCATACTTCAAATTTTCTTTAAAAATGTTGCTCCTGGAAAATTTATTAAAATCAGTTACGTCTTTTCATGATTCGATCCAGGTAAGATGACACCTAAAAATCAAGCTTCGTGCTTTTTGGAGGGAATATCACAAGGCCTATAAAACCCTACTAGAGAGAAAGACATTTCAATCAAGGTGTGGTGGTAGATACTAGACATTAATAGTGTTTAATAGTGACATTAACCCGATAATCATTAAGTTGTAACTGCAACTAATGCGCAATTAACATTAAAATTTGGATTTCACCACAGTATACACGATAGTACATTCACTTAACTAATTAAATTAAATCGAGAGAGAGAGAGCCTATACTATCCTTCTTCTAGGTTTAAATGGGAAACAACATTTCATTCTTTTGTAATGCAAAATGTAACCTGGGCCTATTTAAAAATAAAATATTTTCATTTTCAAGACAATTATTTTAACAGTTAAACTTAATAAACTTCCTCAAAATAATCTCTGCATACATCTAGTAATACGTAATACCAACAAAGATCCATATTTACCACTACATTTTTTCAACTACGCTACGTTAAAACAAATATTTTTTGAATAAATATTGAAATTCAAGAGTAACGTTTAGATAAAGGTATGATACATACCTAACTCCCGTGTGAAGTCGGCACAGGTCGCTAGTAAATATAATTCACAAAACGAAATTGCAAACAGTAAGAAATTCTGAAACTGAAAAGCAATTGATGCGAAATGAATTTTCCACCAGCTCAGACCCACACTGGCTACTTCCCACGGCGTTAACGCCACGTAATTGGAAGCGTGACGTCGGACCACGTGACCGTCCTGTCTGTGTGATGAATTTACTGGTATGAAGCTTTATTTAGTTATTAAATTATACAGGACGTAAGGGACACACTGGAAAGATTAAACTTTGACTTCAGTGGAATTTTTTTCCAGGGAAAATTCATGACGTTTCTACATTTTTTCATCAAAAACCTGTCTCCATTGCAGGTGCGAGGCCGTCTAATTTACCAGAGGCAAATGGAGAAAACGAATTTTCATTTTCCGGGAAAATTCCAAATGATATTTACTTAGTAGAAGAGGAAAAATGACTGAGTTAACTGTTTTTAAGTTTTCTCTGACATAGTTAAAGAGTGAAATGAATTCATAATTTTCATCAATCACGCTGACCTTAAAGGTCCTGTAACTGAATACAAGAACCTTATTATGTAATGACACTCAAACATGAATCATATAGGCTCAAGTAGATTTACTCCTTTTGCTCAAAGCTTTAATTTTATTATTTTTATTGTAGAATTCTCTTACACCGACAGCCCTATACAATAGAAACGCAGTTGCCGAGAGTGACCAATGCTGATTGATTGGGTATCGCCACTATCGAGTACTACACAAATGTAGACGGCACATCAAGCTAAATATTATGGATCTTATTGTAGCTGTAATAGATGCGATTTTGCGACAAAAATGTGGTGGTGTAGGTAAAGACCTTACTACCTTCAAACTCAAACTTGTGTACTACTGTCTATTTTGGTACCTATTCTTGGAGATGAGAATCGAAGCAACGCGGAAACTCTTAGGCTGGGTTGCGCCATCTTACCTTAACTTTGACAAACGTCAAAAATCTGTCAAACTCCATACAAAAAACACAGGTTTTCGTTATAGTTACTGTCAAAATTAGGTGGTACAACCCAGCCTTAATGTGCCAAGATTTGCATTATTAGGCTGTAGAGATATGTCATCTTTCAATTGTTAGATACTTAGAAACAAGCCTTAATATGCTTGCTTAGATCCTTGCCTAGAAAATATATTTAAAAGTCAAAGTCATTTCTTTATTTGTTTAGACTAATAAATAGTTCTTACAAATCGTCATTTTGCTCTTAAGGAGCCTCTACTTGTCTCATAATCTTTTTACCCTACCAGCGCTTCGAGACCAACATTTGGCAAGTGCTGAGAAAAAGCGCCGCAACAAACTCAGTCACCACTGTTTGCCGGTTAATATAATTAAATAGAAAGAATTTATATAAATAAATAAAAGTGAATGTACCTACTCGTAGTAAATAACCTAACCAATTTTATATTTTCAGTAAACAGTTGACTGGGAAAAAATGATAAGGCATTTAGTTTTTAAACTCCTTTTCGAAACGTATCGTAATTTCGTCTAACCGTACATTCTATATGAGCATGGCAGACATTAAAAGAGCTAATTACATGCAATTATCTTATACGCAGATGCGAATACAATCAAATAAATCGTATTGTCATCAATAATTAGTTTCGTTTTCCAGCTAACATTCCCCCATTTCAGTGTTAACAGAATTTCTAATAATAAATTTAATGTTTGACAGATGTAGACACGCAATCGTAGGAGAAACGTTGATATTTACTTAGATAAAGCAATCGAAGTATTTTACATTCGTGAAAACATGTTATTCCGTTTTGAAACCAATGTATTGTAGGAGACAATCGTTAAGACATCGAGCTACCACAAAATTATTAATCGTCAATTTGTCTTTCGACAACACGCAAAAAGAAAATATTTTTGGGATAATGCGTCGTGGAAAACCACCAAACAAATATTTACAATGCCTAAGGTAAAAATGCTGAAGTTATTATAATTTTGAACATAAGAACTAGGTTCAAATAATAGACCTTCAGACTCGAGCACTCTCACTAGTATTTACTTTACATGGGTCATTCCATAAAAATCTGTATATTTTCGACGTCATTTTGTCCTAAACTTTTTTAAGATGCTTTTGAATACTTTATTAGTGTAAATTATAGTTTATGTATTAATTATGTTATGTCTAAAAGGGCCAGTCATTTTATGCTTTATTTTAGGATAAATTATAATTTTAAGTTTTTTCATACTACATTACTCCTATGTGACTCTTAATAAAGTATAAAACTTATAACCTTAACACTTATAGATAAGTTAATATACTTAATGTAGTTGTTTTGTTAATAATATTATATAAAAAACGTTATTCCCTAACTAGTAACTTAGTCCCTAGCGCCGTTTAAAGCTAGGGCCTGACGGNAAACTACGCATTATGTTTTCCTTTAATCTGACAATTGGGCTAAGTTATATCATTTTACACCAAATAATTAACCAAATCATTAGTTGCGATTTTCAAATGTTTTTGATCTAAGTAACTGATAACATTTTACACATGTACGAAACTTTTGTGGTTA